AAACCTTTCTGCCTCCGTGCCTTGCAACAGATAAAAACACTTTTCTTTAGATACAAACAGTTTCCTGGGCAATACATGTCCGCTATCACTTTTTTGTGGACATGTAACATGTTGTAGCGAAGCTACTGTCGTATCCTTGGGTGACCAAACTGAAACCAAATAACAAACCTAAATTCCGATCAAGGCTTCAAACGTGTCCTGTTCTTAAAGTATTAAAAAAAAGAAATGTTTAATGACTCCTTAGCCAAGCATCAAGATAACTTCTCCACTGCAATTTTTGAATGCAACAATTGGCTACCCTTCGAACTTTCATCACTTTATGACGTCACATACCATCTCCAAGCTTAAGCTTCAAACAACAAACTTACAAAGTTACAGACAGCGTTCCACTTCTTGGACACAGCGACAGAAGTGCAACATGTGGCAAACACTACTCTCTGTGTTTACCTGCTGCCTGAATGCGAAGGTGAATAAGGTGTCACCAGGCGAGGAGAAGACTGAGGACGGACTGGCGGGTAAGACCATGGTCCGAGAGACCTTTACTTAAAACATATGAGTACGGAATGGAATCGGCTGACGGTGTAAAGCCATAAAGGAGACTGGCGGAATGAGTCCTGCGGGACTACCGTATGTCCATGCAATAGAGTCAGTTTCGCACATGTACCTGTAAATTCATTCTTCAGTGCTACTATTCTGGGGAGTAGTATGGTATACCCTTTTTTTTCGGCGATGGACGACACGATTAAAGCTGCTAATCTGCATGTTCACAATCACGTACATTGAAACGTCACTAGCAGTGTAGCACTCATGCGCCGGTGACACAACTTCATCCGTTCCCATGGACTGAACAGATAAAATGTGCTTCAGGATTTCAACTTTATTTCAGAACCGCCAGTGATTCCTATAACCAGTCCCCCGGTCCCCGTGATGTCCCAGCCGCGGCCGGACAGGTCCTCAGACGATATTCTGACCCAGCTTCGCGATGAGGGTGTGTTACCCGGCCTGAAACGGCGTGACAATGCCGTCGCCTTCCAGGTGCCCACAGAGAACCCCGGTACTCCCCCGCGCCACCAGGATAGGCTGAAGAAAATGGAGAGGAGACTAGAGGAGCGACGGGAGAAGGTGAAGAAAAGCTGCCCTGAATCTCGTGGTGATCTGAAGAAGCAGCTTAGTGACGCGGAAGTTAGGAGACAGGTAAGGATATGGTTCGACTCTCGACTTGGCCAGTGGCACGGGTGGACATATATGCATGGCACATTTGAACATCAAACGAGCACATCAGAGATTACTAGTATGAGTAGAGTAGAGTAGAGTTGATTCATGCCGGGTAGGAGTCCTGCTCCAATTTGGGCCGCTCTTCAGTTTACTGACATCTCTGGACGTAGTGGGTGGTCCAAAGCTCTATAATTGTAGACGACCGGGTGTGTTTCCATATACTCGTCAAACCTCTTCTTGAAACTGTTTACACTAGGCGCCATAACTACCTCCCCAGGAAGCTCATTCCACCAGCTTGCCGTTCTATTTGTAAAGAAGTGTAGGCGCATATTTGTTTTTGCCTGCGTCCTCTTTATTTTCAGGTGATGACCTCTAGTTCTCTTCTCTGTTGTTATTGGTAGTAGACATGCTGTATTGTACATCCCGTGTGTGTATTTATAAACGTTGATCATGTCACCCCTCAATCTCCTGTAGACCAGGGTAGGTAGTTTTAGTTTCTTGAGCCTCTCTGTGTATGAAAG